TTCCTGGGGGTGGGGGAGGCCTGGCCAGGCACCTGCTCACCTCCTACTCCTCCTGACCATGTGCCCTGCATCATGCCCCAAACACAAAGCTTCCACGAGCCCTGACAGACAGGGTCCCAGGCCATGTTCATGGCCTAAAGCAGTCCCCAGGCCTGGTGGGTCTTCCAGGACCCAGTTGGGTAACGAGGAAAACAGGCACCTGAGCTGCTGTGCAGGAACACCAGGGGGAGACACACACGGCCTTGTCCAGCACTGCCCTAGCAGGGCCAGGGAGGTTGGAGGGCAGGGCTCCCCAGGGCCCGCTGGGTCTGGAGGAGCCTGGACACCATAGGGAAGTAAGAGGCCCTAGGGTCAGGCCCACCCACAGGGCTGACCCCAGGCCTGACGCCTGGCTCAGTGCAGCCTTGGCTGTGGCCAGTCACACCGGGAGGGCCGCACCTTGGGGCTGAGCACCCAGGCCAGTGATGGGCAATCCCCGAGCAGAGGGGAGGTACCAGCACAACAGGGAAATGTCATTCAAAGCCCCACTGCCTGCACCATCCACCTCTGCCTTTCAAGGGCGGCAGACAATGTGTGTCAGCAGGAAAGCAGGCTGCTGGGGCAGCCCTGGCACGGGACACACAGGTCATGGGTTGGACACCACCGTGGAAAAGGGCTGGCCCCAAGGAGGAGTGCCCATTCCAGGAGGTGGGCCAGTCCCCAGGACAGCCTGGGCAGGTCGGGACCCTACACCTCAGCCCCACCCTGAGAACTGAGCACTCCACAGACACCTTGCCCACCTACTTGGTCACTGCCCACACTGACAGGCAACACCAGCCCACACCACCAGACACTCTTCACACCACACAGCAGTACACACACATGGTCACATGATACTACACCCTGAAGCCCACTGTCCCCTGGGGCCCACCCCTCCCACAAACAGCAGGCATGGGCACACAGACAAGGAAAGTCACCGAACCTGTCACTTCAAAAGTGTTTGTGCACATGCAGCTTTTAAAAGATTTGGGCAGGAAGACTACAGCCTTGGGCTGGGGTTGTGGCTCAGTAGTAGAGCACTTGATTAGCATGTGTGAGGCCCTGGGTTCAGTTCTCAGCATCACATATAGATAAATAATAAATGTTCATCAACAACTAATAAAAAATTTTAAATTTTTGCTTAAAAAAAATTACAGCTTTGTAGTACAGGAGAAATGGGCTCATTAGCCTCAGAGACAGACACAAAAGACAGAGCTCAAGGGCTGGGAGGCTGGAGTGGTCGTCTCCGGGGTCAGACGTGGGGGGCTGGGACCTCCCGCTCCAGCACTCCTTCTCCAGCCCCCAGAGACAGACTGCCTCTCACTGTGGGCGGGAGGCAGGACCCCTAAACAGCCTGGGGGAGGGGCCAGGCATCCTGGGGGACGGCAGCTGAGAGACAAAGGAGAGGGGCTTCCTGCCGTCCATGTCCCCAGCCCAGCTTGGAGAAGAGATCACTGGATCTAGTAACAGACTTCACTGGTGATCTTGACATAAGCAGTTTCAGAGAGATCTGAAGACTGGAAGTCAAACAGGGATGGGTTGGGCAGTAGGGGTACACAGAGAGGTTGCACACGACCAACTTCTGGGTGCTATCTGTGCAGCTTACCTGGCCCCTGAGCTCTGCTGACTACTGATACCCATGGCAGCCCCTGGCATCCATCAAATGTGCCCTCTCCAGGTCCACTGGGGCTGGTGCCAGCCAGCCCTCCACCCACCACCCCTCTGGCCACAAAGCACAGTGTAGCAGATGGACAAGCGGCTGGCCACGTCCTTGGAACAGGGTGGAAGGCTAGGTCCCTGCAGAAGCCCCTCTCCTGCCAGGTTGGCAGAAACATGACTGGTCTTGGCTGGGAGGTTGGCCACCAGGTAGAGTGATCTCACTCAAACTTGGATGTAATTTGTCCAGTCCCAAGACCTGCCCACCCAGCAGAGCACCAGCCTAGAACCCACAGCTGGGCAGACGACCCCCACCCTGCCACAGCAGCCCATCAGGGAGCCTCCTACTCTGCAGGGCAGGCGGGACTGTGGTTTCCCCTGGGGTGTGCTTTCCTGTCATCCCGCTCCCGGCTGATACAGGCAGTGAATGGAGGGTTCCCTCAGTGTCCTGGCTCTGCCCTTTGCTATCCCCTCCTCCATCAGACTCAGGACACCCTCCTCAAGGGCCAGCAACAGAGCCACTGTCAAACACCATCTCAGTTCACCAAGGGCTAGGCAAGGCCTCTGCCTGGTGACTGGCAGGACCTTCCTTTAGATCCAAGGCGACCACGGGGAGCGGCCCAGGCCCCCTCCCAGCGGAGATGGCAGGCAGAGCCTATACCCTGCACCTCCTCCAACCTGGGGCCTCTGCCCACCTGGGGTCAGCCCAGGCAATGGGCAGATGAGGGTCCTCCCACATCTCTTCTGGGGTCCTGATCCTACCTGAGGCACAGCGCCCGGGGGTGCCGAGGAAGAAGCTGATGTACCCAGCAAGGCAGGACTTGCTGAGGTCCTGGTGTCTGGATAGTGGAGACAGGCTGGCAGGTCGGGCTCCGACCCCTACTCTGGCCACCTAGATAGTCCCTGACCACAGCAGGCTGGGAGCAGCTGGGGGCTTCTGCTGAGAAAGGCTGGGAAGGGCATCAGGAGGCAGGCCTCCTGAGCAGAGTGGGGAGGGGCCACTGTCTGGGAGAAAGCTGCGAGGCTGAGGTCCAGGCCAGCCCCCCGGCCACGTACAGCTAGGGAGGCATCCCCATCCTGCTGGCAGGCTCAGCCCCACTCAGACTGGCCACTGGGCTGGAGCCACCGCCCGTGGGCAGCGCCCCAAGTTAGGGCAGGGGTGGGGGGGGCAGGAAGAGCTTGCTGTGCTGCTGCTCCACCCCTGGGGACCTGGAAGAGCTTGGTTGGCAGAGACCCAGCTGATGACACAGCTTCAGGCCTGAACACAGGGGTCCCCGGGGCCACACCATCCCCACCCCTTCACCACCACTGGCACCACAGCCCACCCCACCTCGTTCATGGGCCCTGCACTCTCATTCTCCCACAGGATGGCCTGCCGGGGGACACCCCGGGTCAGGGACCCCGAGTCTAACCTGCCACTCCACTGTGCACATCTCAAAGGAAGGCTGGGCAAAGCCACTGCTACCCACAGAGCCAGTCGGCTGGAGGAGGCAGCTGCCAGGGGTGTCCCAGCAGGGGTCATGGGGTGGGTGCCCTCTGAACTCTGGTTGCAGGGTTAGCTCCAGCTGGGAGGTCAAGGAAGCCATGCAGCAGGGGAAGTCCTGTCAGCTGATCTCCCAATGTGAGTGGGAAATGGAGTGGGGGTCAAGTCCCTCCTACAGGGCAACAAGGGGCACAGGATCCCAGGTCAGGAATGAACCAGCCCCACCTCTCCCACCCACCGCCTGTCACCGTTCAGAAGGGGTTCAGGGAAAAGACAGGTGAACATCACACCTGCCAGGACCAAGGCAGGAAGCTCCCCTAAGCCCAGCACAGGGTCTCCTGCCCAGTCCTGCCTGTTCACAGCCCTGCGTACTCCCCTGTGGTGGCCTCCAGCCCAGGACCCAGCCCCTGCTCTGGTCCCAGGCCTCAGACCTACTGGGCACCACTTGGGGAGAGGGTGGCAGGCAGGTGTGTGAGACTAGCTGCAAGGGACTTAGGTCTGAGGCTGGGGAGTATAACTGGATAATAAAAGGGAATCAGATTTTCCAGCCTAGGAGGTCCCCAGGGACTGCTGATTTCTTCTTTCCCAGGTGGAGGACATGATTTAGGGAACAGCAGAATGTGCCTGCTCTGCAGCTGTAGGGTGCTTATGGGGTGCAAGGTCCCACAGGGGGGGCCCAGACTGCTCTCTGAGACCCCCTTTGAGGCCCCCTTCATCTCTTCCCTGCAGACAGGTGTCCAGGTCAGGGAAGAGAGGGTAAGCAGGTCCCTATCTCCTGCCCAGGTCCTGCCACTAGGCTGCCTGTCTCTTCACACCACCACCCACTCCCCTTCCCACTGCTGGGGACTTGCTGACCCTGCACTGACCACATTGGTGCTCACTGAACTGCCCAATCTTACCAGGAAGACATTTCCCCACACACCCACCCTGCTGCCCACTTCCTGGCCTGCGGGGCACTGCTCAGCGTGAGGCCTGGGCCTTGCCCCTCCCAGAATCTTCTTGCAGAGGACAAACCCTTGAGGTGACCCCTTCTGGAGTTACTCCCCACAGGCAGCCCAGGAAGGCTGCCCTTCTCTGTGACTCCCAGCCCCTGCCCCAAGCCAGGGCCAGGCAAGAAGGTGGACCCAGGTTACAGCATGTGCCAGAACTGAACCACGTGCATATGGCAGCACCTCCGAAGTCTGAGCTGGTCTCCTCACTCCTGACTCGGTGGTAAAAGGAACTAAGGACTGAGCCTGGAATGACCTTGGGTGCCATTTCTCCACCCATCCTTCCCAGCCCAGCCAGGGAAGCCCCAGGCCCAGCTCAGGTAATGGGAGGCCCCGCCCCCAGCTCCTCTGAGGGGGTCTAGCCAAGCTTGCTCCAGAGCAGCCAGGAGTGGAACCTGCCAGGGCGGTCCTCCCTGGTGCTCTAGGCTGAGGGGGTCACCCTCTGCTCCACCAGCAGGCAAGTCCCAACCCCTGCTGCTGCTCTTGCTGGTCAGCAATCCCTGCTGCACCTCTACAAGTTAGGGAGGCCGGGAGCCAGCGCCTACCCAGCTCGCCCAGGAGTCCCTTAAGGTCCTGCCGCTCACTCAGGCCGTGCACACTATTTCTGGGGCCCTCTGGGTGACTGGGGTCCACCTAGGCTTGGCAAAGTTTCCTCAGGGCAGTCCTGGGGAAGGAGTCCCAGGGTTGGCGCTACAGTAGAAGGGGGCGAGGCAAGGACGCAGGCTGTGGAGGCCCAGAGGCAGAGGGTAGGTGCCCGCGCAGTGCTGGCCCTGACCAGGACTGGAACCCCCACCCCAGCAGAGGCTCAGGGTCGGGATGGCCCAGCCCCATCCGGTGTGCACGTGCGCAACACATCCTGTCTCAGCAGGAGGGGCAGGCGGGCAGCCCAGGAAAGCAGAGGTCCGGCGACACCCCGCGGCTGGTCAGCCAGACAGCAGCCCCTGGCCCTCCCCAGGTCCTGGCCCCCAGCCCTCCTCGAGCAGCGACACTGCCCGCGCACTCACCCAGAAGAGCAGGTTGAAGGCGAACATGAGGTACTTGACACCCTGGAGGCAGCCGCGCGCCATGCTGCAGCGCTTCAGCTCTAGGAGGAAGATGAAGGACAGGTCCAGGTAGAAGACCACGTACTTGTTGCCCTTGGGCGACGTGTAGCGGGCCTGAGCCGCCTTGGGGCCGGGGTTCGCGTGCAGGCCGAAGAAGGGGCTGCCGCCCGCGTCCTCAGCGTCCCCGGTGCCCGCGCGCCCATACAGACTGCTGCAGCGCCGGAAGGGGCCACCGCGCGTGAAGCCCGGCTCCTTGCCCTCCGGCGACGGGCTGCGCCGGTACGTGGACTCGTCCGTGCTCGAGCGGCGCATTGCGCCGGGGTGGCCGGGGCCACGGCCGCCAGGAGCACGGGCTCTGGCCGCAGTCAG